ACTAAGGTGGAAATACGATTAATATAATTGTACATGTATAACCTATATCAGATTGCTTGCTGTCTTGGGGAGGGGCAAGGGTGAGGAGGAGAAAACTTTGGAACTTAAAATCTTATGAAAGTTAATGTTGAAAACTTTACATCTAATTGGAAAAAATAAAAATCCTATTAAGTGGCAGAGGGGGAAATAATATGATCTTGATGGTGCAGCATTTGCTGACCTGGGTAAAGTTTTTCAACTTAGGTATAGGCCTCAGGGATACACGCTATGAGTCCCCTGAAACCATCCTGAAAGGGAGGGCAATCAGCAGAACACATAGCTATGTCCAGGCACAAAGAACATGCCCAGGAGGCCTTATTGCTTCTTCTGTAGTGCCTATTCATACTTACAGGTCTCCCTTGACAGCTTTTTATTCACATAAAATCTCTCTCAGACCTAAAGATTATAATAGCCAGCTTTGTCCGAGATACATCAATGACCTTCATTCTGTTAGCTTTCTCTAAATGGCCTAGATACAATGCCTTAGATGAAAGTGCTCCATGCTGTCAGCTGACCTTGCCCCTGTGGCCCTCACCAAGGTGAGAGGCTCTCTCAGGGTAGTGTTCAGTAAATAGGAGCAGTCCTACTACTTGCATTCTCTTTTGCCTCCATACTCCACTAGGCTTTTCTTTTTCCCCTCACTATACTAACAGCCACAATGATGGTTTTAAGTCACATTTTAAGTCACAAAAAGAAATGAAACCTGTCTTCCAGTAAATACATTGGAAATAAATTGGTGATTAGTACTAAATGCATTAATTATACTTTAAAACAGGGGTTCTTAAAACTGTGTGTGGTCAGGGGCTATGTTTCATTAATTTGAAATCAAGGAATCTGTTGACAGGTTTATGAGTAAATGAGAAATGCAAAGGCTTGCTAATGGTGTTGTCACTAGTAGTGTTGGGATGGGGAGAAATATGTCCTTATGAGCTGTCAGTCAGGAGGCACTTCAGGTAAAAAAGCAAGAACGGTGGAACCTTCCAGATGAATTTCATCTTTCTCCTAAAAATACTCGCAAGGGGAGGAGTGTGCATGTGTGTGTGTCTGTGTGAGAAAACCACATTTCATGATCAATCAGGTTGGACTCTGGGATCACAGCTAATGACTCTAGGGCCCCTATTCATTTAGTTTACTTAAGTAAATTCTCAATTATTCGCTTTCTGATTAGCCAGCTTATGAATTTTCCAAGACCTTTGTTTCTTTTACTTTCACAGTCTGCCTTTGGGCAGGCAAGGCTTTGCATGAGAAGGTGGGTAGGAGAAGGGAAAAGAGATAAAATTTAAACTAAACATTTTGGCTTAATTGTTAGCAGCCCTGGTTTAAAAAAAAAAGGCTGAGTGGAGAAAGTTGAAGTATTTGTCTAAAATGAGGTTTGGGGATAATTTGTGAACTTCTTTCAGGCTAGGTTTACATGACAACAAAACATCTGGTCAATTCAGTGGAAAGCATCAGCCAAACCAGTTGAGCAGAATAGAAGAGGCAAAGTTACCAGCTGATATAATTTTTCACCTTTTTAACCTGTCATCTGGTATCTTATAGACAATCTTATGTATGTATGTATATATATATGTATATATATATATATACACCCATATATATACACACACATATATAATACATATATATAATACATATATATATATATAAAGCTGTCCTCTAGTGCCATGCATAATCAACTGCTTAAAGAAGTACAAGAATTGAATTTTTATTATTATTTTGGATCATTCACTAACCGCAAATTTCTGTATCGCTTACATTGAAATGTTACATTGTAATCCATGCTGGGTTCATGTCAAAAATAGCTTTTTTATGGGTAAACCTTTATTTTATTTTCAGTCAAATAACTTTAAAAATAAAACCATGAAACAAATCACCAAATAATTTGGTCTTTTCCTTTGCTCTTACAAAGCACCATTAAATTAAGGTAAATAAAGATCATTGGAATCCGTTGATATCCATAGTGATGTACATTGCATCAATCTGTCCATCTGCTGATATTCAGAAATTCTCTATGAATGCAAAATGTATTTGACAAAATGTGTCAAAACCACAGAATATAAGATGATTATTAATCAAGGGGACAAAGGACAGACGAGGGAGGAACAGCTGGCACTCAAGCATGGCACTGGTATCTGTGAAATATTAAAATTGGTAGAGGAAGGCCTCCAGCTCATTGAGTAGACTGTCTATGGAAGACAACAGCATGGGTGAAGAGGTGTGACAGGGTTGTAATGTGAACTGTTGGAGGAAATATTGACATCAATGTAAGAATGGATCAAAGTACTGGAGCATCAAAGTAACAAGGGCATGAGGAAAGTGAAAAAGAGTCATTTTTCACTTGAGCCTTCTTGCCTATTTTCCTTTTTGGCATGAATGTAACATGGGCAGCAGAGCCCAGGCAAAATAAGGATGAGTCAGGAAATCCTCTTACCGATTTCCTACCACCATTTATAAAATACTGTTACTGCCATTGGTCCAGGCACTTAGCAAATATGTTGCCCTTGGGGAAGTCTGTTAATTCTTTCACAATATTAGGGTCTTGATATATATACTAAATGATCTTCTCATGATCTATAAGAGTTAATGAAAATAAATAGTATTACTCTGAATTGATAGAGTACTTTCCTTCCAAATAATTTAAAGTATTCCCTTGTATATAATTCCATAATATCACTGCAATATCCATGCCAAGGAAATCAGATGAAGTATAATATACTCATTTTATATGTGAGATAATTATTTCACAGAGAGGTGAGATGATTTATTCAAGATATGGTAATATCTTGATTGCTAGTTCAGGAGTCCATGAGATCACATTTTTGCCTTTCTAAATATATGCAATAAATTAAACTAGATAATTGAATATATTGCATTGAATATTAAATGTATTACATAATGGTGCTGTATTACTAGGAATAATGATGACTGCAGGAAATGGAGAAAACTATCATTTTTCTTTTTTTCTTTTTTCTTTTCTTTTAGGCAATTGGGATTAAGTGATTTGCCCAGGGTCATATAGCTAGTAAATGTCAAGTGTCTGATCTGAGGCTGTATTTGAACTCAGGTCCTCCTTAGTTCAGTGCTGTTGCTCTGTCCACTATGTCACCTAGCTGCCCCCAAAACTATCATTTTTCATAAATATACTAACTCCAAGAGTTTACCTTTATAGGCAACTGATTTTTCCTATAAAGTAGTTTCAAGCTGCAAGTACAGGACATGATTTAATGCCTGTCAAGTCTTGTGGCTGATTTTCTAGACATCCAGCATGGTCAGAGACTGCAGGTACAGATCTAGGTTTAGTGAAGGCATATTGTTCTGTTCTCGGTAGTTGGAAAGGGAAATTCAAATTTATTACTCATCAAATCCTAGGGTTTATTTTGACCATATTAATAGGTTGTTTTTAATCTTTTGTTTTCAAATCTCAGAAAATTTGAGTGTGAAAGTATGTATACGTTAATGAATAAATTCATTATTTTATTAGAAAAGAAGAACAGTTAATTAAGCAATGACAAGCTTCTTTTTCCCTAACCATGGACCATCAGAACATAGAGGAAGGAAGGTGCCTATTGCTCAAGTGGGATTGGATAAGGACAGGAAATCACATCTTTTAAACCATAGAAATAGTCCCCAACATGTAAACATGCGATATCATCCTTCTCTATCTTTTGAGTAACATTTATATTATCTAAAATAAACTATCATTCTGTTGTTGTTCCATAATTGACATGTGACACAGTCCACATTGTAGCAAATATAAGTGGAGTAAACAGAAAGCATTTGCTGTCTTTATGCTATGAGAAACATTCAGGTTTCCTTAAACAGACAAACTTTATTTTGTTGCTATGCAACCGTCATGCAACACAGTCCACCAGGCAGTAAATAAAGAAAGAATTTTACGATGAAGAGGAAAGTCTTTTTCTCTCTGCTTGAGATCAAGCCACAACTTCCTTTCATGTTATACTATCCCATCACTATGCTCAAGGCTATTTCACAAACTTCAATGTTTTGGCAAGATAAACAAATGAATGAATAACACAGTGCTGACATGGATACAGTTTGAAAATTGCACGCGATGAAACATCAATACCGTTTAGCTCAATTCTTCCGTGCAGGCCAGGGAATTCATGTTCCCAAGCATAGAAGAGCAGGAAGGATTCCACTTCATAGCCCCCTTTCCATATTCTTCCTGGGAGCTATGTTTATATAAAACTCCAAGGAAGGATCAATCTCTCTCCCCTGGTAGTCTAGACAGCCATTCCCTAACAGTCTAGACAGTCACGACTTTAATACATGGCTTTCATAGGCACTAAAAGGTCAAACAAAAACAACAGTACTATCTTTGGTCACAGAACTGGGAGGACAAAGTGCCCATGGACCCTTACATACCTGTTATAACATGGGAAGAGAGAAGATGTACCTAGAGTTACTGAATTTCTATGCAGGGGAATGTAAGCAGAATGTAAGTCCCTTGTGGGCAAGAATGTTATTTTGTTTTTTAATTTCTGTCTTTGTATACCTTACACCTTTCACATAGTCAGTGCTTAATAAATGCTTGTTCATTTGGATTGACTGGAAAATAAAATGGTAGAAAGAGCACTAGACTAGGAACTAGGAAACAGGACACATGTTCTAGCCCAAATACTAACATTACCTAGAAGTAAGAGATTAGGAAAACTACTTTGACATAGGAGAATGTTGTTACCTCATATGTAAAATGAGAGGTTTGATCAAGATAATAATCTCTTAAGGTCTAAGAAACTATGAATCCAGGTGCTACCTGGAGTTTTACTTACGTTATTTTGCTCATTATTTTATTTGTAGATTGTTACATTGATTTTAAAGATCTCAAAACACTTCATTAGACAAAACTTTTTTTCCTATTGCAAAGATAGAGAATATAAGTTTAAAGATTAAGTGGCTTGCCCAAGAAAGAACTGCTTTTAGCAAGGGACAGAGAGAGATAAAGAAACCATTGTGTTTTATTTTCACTTCTCCATGTTCTTTATACCTGCTCATGTCACTATATGATTTTTCATGAAAACGTTGCTACAATAGATATGGGTACACACGAGGTGTGCTAGAGCCATTTCAAATTGGCTTGAGAGAGTCAATTGTTAAATTTTCAGTGTGATCATTTATGCCTTGAAAATTGGCAAATGCTACAAATCAGACCTTGATTTATTGTTTATTTATGCCCAAGAAAGTAATAGAGAAAATATTATTATTAAAATACATTAATTACAAAAGATTGAACTTGTGTGTGCTGTGCACATTTTTTTTTCTTCTGGAGATCCAGTTGTTAAACATTTACCAGCACAACCCTGTGGATATATTCTTACACTTAAAATTTCTGTGAAAATCCACATTGACATAGAAACATGAATCTTCGTGGAAATGGAAGCATGCTTCTTTAGGCTAAACAAAAGAAGAGAAACTCACATTTCATGAGCTCTGCTCTTAGTTCTCTATTTATATAATTTTGAAGAGGTTTCTTGATCCTTCTGGACAAGTTCCCAAGAAATAACTTATTCTTTGGTTAAATCTAGTCTAGAAAAGGGAGGTAGGGGAGTAAAGCTCTGGTCTGGTAGTCAAGAGATCTTGTTTCTAATCACGGCTTTGCTACCAATAAGCTAAGACACCTTGAACCAGTCACTTAGTCTCTCTCTATTCTCTCATTTACACAAAGAGTGCATTGAACTAGATAATCCCTAAGGTTTTAGGCATTAAAATTATATGTATTATTTAGCCAAAAAAAAATTAAAACTTTGTGACATAGTAGGTACCACACTGGATAGTTTTATATCTAGCACAGTTAGCAAATAGCAGGGACCCAGTACATGCCTTTTGGATGATTGATTTATTGATGTTGATTGATTCCAGAACTAATTTAAAAAATGAATTGGTATGATCTGAGGTCTGTTGATTCCTATTTGTGTGACCGTGGTAAGTTACATAACTTTCCCAGGCCTCAGTTTCCTCATACATAAAAATGAGGGAGTTGCTCTGTGAGGTCCCTTCCAGCTTTAAAAAAAAAAAAGGAAAAAAAAATCTTCTGATTCAAATCCTATAGTATAACTACAGTATTTGCTCTACATACTTGAAAACAAAATTCTCTAGGTATAGTTAATTTTTAAAAAATCAGGTAAAGTAAATCTTTGTGCTAGTGAATTTTATAAGGATAGATTAATAAATGGGGTCATCCCAATTTGAAAAGTAGAGGAAAGATCTACAAAATGTGTAGCATTTTCAGGCAGTGATTAATTCTCCAACATTTTCATTTTGCTATACCGCAAAGGCTTCTATAACCCTTGGGGGACTGAGTTAAGTGACTTTTCTCAGGAGAAAAAAAAATCCAACCTCATAATTTTGAGAGGTAGTGAGTTTTTCTTTAGTACACTTCCAAATTGAGCCTGGATGACCACTTGTCAAAAATATTGTAGAAGATATTCCTATCCTTGGACAACATCGACTGGATGACTTCTAACAACCCTTCTAGCCTGGAGATTTTGGGAGCATCCCCCAAGACTGTAATAGTAATGGATGATTTGGAAAATAAGAAAGTAACAGAGGTGGAGAAATCATCAGAAAATATCAAAAGAATTAGAGTAATATAGATCTTTAGTACTCAGAAGGGACAAAAAGGAAGTAGACCATGGACAAGAGAGGGTTTCAGTTGTAAAACAAGCAAACTCCTTATCATATATCATTAAGTGGCACACTCCCAAATAATGCAAAGCCTGCTTCTTATTCATCAAATCAGTTTCACAGCCCTGCCTCCAATCTGTCCTTAAGCTCATGACCTCAATCTTAAGAGACACAATTTTTAGGCTATCTCCACCAATTTGAATGAGGGAACCCCTCTGGACAGTCATTTGTTTGTCAGTAATGGGCCCCAAATTTTGCCAAGGTATATTTTTTTACCTTTTTAGAGAATTAAGTTGTTTAAACTCATTTTCAATGTTTTCTTTTTTAACAGCTAATATATTCCTAGGATGCAAGTGCATTTTTTTTAAATGATCCTGGGACATCCATTGAAAAGTCAATAGCAATGAACTAAAAGGGGTTTCTATTTTGTTGGGGAAGAACGAAGCTCTTTGTATGGTGGCTCAAAATTACAGAGTATGGTCACCCTCTGCACAGTGTCTCTTTGTCAAGAAACACATGCTGAAAGAAAGAATACAGATGAGAAAATAGTGTGCACTGTCAGATCTTGGAAACAACCAATGGATTTATCCTCACCAATGTCTTGTCAATGTCTTTTACATTCCGGCACCCTGAAAAAATAAAACATACATTTAATATAAAATAAATGCAATAATAATCAGTCGGGTAATGGTTTTCTCAAGGAATGTAAAACTTGACTAATGTAAAGTTTATGGTTCAAGGTAGGCCTGCCAACTCTTATGTGGCATGAGACCATTTTTATTACCTAAACAGTCCTTAACACGAAATGACTGGCACATATTTTTATTAACACAAAGAGTATATTCTTTCTGCCACATTTAATAGATCTTTGGGGACTGAAAGCTTTCCTTTAGGATCTGTCTCTGTAGCAAAGGAAAACTCAGGGTGATGATTCACAGGGTGTCATTCTTCCCTCAGAGACTGTCTACACAGGCAAAATGCAATGGAGAGTCAAGCAATCATGTCGAAGATTCAATCAATGTAGACAATCTGGGTCATAAAGACAATTAAAAAAATAACAATAAACCTGCCATCTTCCTTAGTTACATGGTTTTAGAAATGGAATTATCTGGATAATTGCCTCAATAATTCGTTTCATCTTCCTTGTACAGAGGCACACTAAACCTGTTCTGAATCAGTAACTCAGGATGAATCCAGAATGAAGAAAAGTAACAGAGGACCTATTATGGGACCACAGAAGAAGCCATATTCTGTTCCTACTCTAGCTTCTGATTACGGGAAAAGTGATAATTCTTTCAGTATATTCAACAAGCATTTCACAAACTCTAATTGAATGTTTCAGTATTTCTTTCATTTGGGGATCTATAGGAAACAGCTAACATACTACACCTTTGGGTAAGCCACATGTGAATAACAACTGCAAAGTAGAAACCATTTATTCTATGCCAGAGATACTTAACTTGGGGATCTCATCAGCTCCCACATATTTAAACATTATTCCTATGTTGATGAGTCTCAAATCTACATATCCTGCCCCAGACTCTCTGCTGACCTCCAATCTTACATCTCCAACTGTCTTTCAGATATCTCAAACTAGATGACCAATAGACATCTTAAACTCAATATGTTAAAAATAGAACTGTTATCTTTCCCTCCTAAATCTTCCCTTCCTCTTACCTTCTCTATTACTGTAGAGGGTAGCACTATTCTTTCAGTCCCTAGGCTCTCAACCTAGTAATCATTCTTGATTTGCCAAAGTCTGTCAATATTACCTTTACAATATAACTGGAAGATGTCTCTTTCTCTCCTCTGACACTGCCACCATTCTGATTCAAGCCCTTATCACCCATGCCCTGGATTATTGCAGTAACCTGCTGGTGTGTCTGACTGCCTCAAGTCTCTCTCCACTCCATTCCATAACTCCATTCAGCCACTAACATGATTTTCCTAAAGCACAAATCTGACCATGTCACCCAGCCCCCACTCAATAAACTCCATTGACTCCCTATCAACTCCAGTATCCTTTGTTTGGTGTTCAAAATCCCTCATAACTTAACCCCCTCCTAACTTTCCAGTCTTATCATATTTTACTCCCCAACACAAATTCTTCAATCCAGTGACACTTGCCTCCAGGTTGTTCCATGAAGAAGACACTCCATCCCTCAGCTTCAGACATTGTCTCTGATTGTCTTTCATGCCTGCAATGCTCTCTCTCCCCATTTCCATCTGCTGGTTTCCTTTAAATTCCAAATAAAATTCCATCTTCTACAAGAAGACTTCCCCAACCCCTCTTAATTACAGTTCTTTCCCTTTCATATTTATTTCCATTTATCTTGTAGATAGCTTATTTGTATACATTTGTTTGCATTATCTCTTCCATTAGATAGTAAGTTCCTTGAGGGTAATGACTATCTTTTGACTTTTTTTGTATCCTTGGTACTTAGCACAGTGCCTGGCACATAGTAGATGCTTCAAAAATGTTTTTTGACTGACTGATCAAATAATATATTTTGAATCTGTCTTTTTCTTTTCATTCCTGATTTTCCTACTTTACTTCAGGTCTTTATCATCTATATTACACTGGCTGCCAGAGTGACCTTCATTTTAAAAAATCGTCATCTCAACCTTGTTCAGACATTTAAGTGAATTCCAACTTTCCAAATGATCTTCTTTTTTCCTTCTCCTCTTCTCTTTAGCTACTCCTCATCTTTGAAGGCCAAACTCAAGGCCCATTTCCTTTATAGAACTACCAAAAAGATTCTGCTACCTCCTCCTTTTTTACTAGACTACTAAAACACATTTATTTTCTGCCCCACTCAACTGAACTGTTTTACGTTATCTTGCATTTTTAGTTATTGCTTTATTTTTGTGTGTCAACTCCCCAACAACAGCAATAATTTGCACATTTAGATAGAACTTTAATATTTAGAAAGCATTTTACGCATACGGGGTCTCCAAAAAAGGGTTTTGGGAGACAATATATTATTTCATTAAAACCTTACAATAACTCTGAAGTAGGTAACATAGCTATATTATTCTCATCTTCCAGAAAAAGAAACTGATCATAGGTAGCTATGCAGCACAATAGATGGGGCACTAAGCCTAGATTAAGGAAGACCTGATTTCAAATTTGGCCTTAGGAAATTACTAGCTACATGATACTTAGCAATTCACTTAACTTCTACCTGCTTCAGTTTCTTCAATTGAAAAATGGGAATAATAATAGCATCAACCTCACAGGGTTCTTGTGAGCATGAAATGAGATACATAGTAAACTTAATAAATGTTTGTTCCCTTCCCCTTAAATGCCTTATTGAAGTTTACATAGTTAGTAAGTATTAGAGGCAAGATTTGAAACCGTTTCTTCCTGACTTCAAGCTGAGTGCTATATTCAGTATATCTTGAAGCCTCTCTGCCAAGGCATGTCCAGCCTCCCTCTTCCCCCTCCAAAAAAAAAAAAAAGACAGAAAAACTAAGTAACTAAAATGAAATTAGGGATAACTTCCCCAAAAGATTTTTAAAATGAAAACAAAGCCCCATTAAAAAAAATTTTACCAAAAGGGTTAGAATTCCTAGGAACCTACTATTCTTAGACATTCTAGAAACCTCCTAGTCTGCTGGTTGGTCTCTGCCTCAAGTCTCTCCCCATTCCAGTCCACTCTCTACTCCTCTGTCAAATTGATTTTCCTTAAGTGCAATTCTGAGGGACAACTCCCTGGCATAGTAAATAGAATGCTAGGCTTGGAGTTAGGAAGACTCATCTTCTTGAGTTCAAATGTGGACTCAGACACCTCCTAGCTGTGTGGCCCTGGGCAAGTCACTTAACCCTGTTTACCTCAGTTTCTTCTTCGGCCAAATGAGCTACAGAGGTAAATGGCAAACCACTCCAGTATCTTTGCCAAGAAAACCCCACATAGTATCACAAAGAGTCAGACCTGACTGAAAACAACTGAAACAACAACAACAGTGCAGTTCTGACTATGTCAGCCCCCTATTTCATCAAATTCAGTTGTTCCTTATTAGTTCCATGATCAAATATAAAATCACCTGTTTGACTTTTAAAGCCTTTTATATCCTGATTCCTTTCTACCTTTCAAGTCTTCTTATACCTTATTCAATCATGACACTCCATCTCTGAGCATTTTCATTGCCTGTCCTCCATTCCTGCGACTCTCCCTCCTCATTTCTGCCTCTCGGCTTCTCTGGCTTCCTCCAAGTCTCAGCTTTAAAGTCCCATCATCTGCATGAAGCCTTCCTTAATATTAGTGTCAGCCCTCTGACCCAACCCCCAATTTTTCCTGTATATATCTTGTTTGTATATAATCATTTGTCTGTTGTTTCCTCCATTAGTCTGAAAGTTCTGTGAGGATAGACACTTTTCTTTTCTTTCTTTGTATTCCTAGTGCTTCACACAGTGCCTGGAACAATAGTACACATTTAATAAATGCCTATTGATAAACCAATTGACTGACTATAGATGTAACCTATAGCTCAGAAACTCAAGCTATGGGTTCTCAAGAACTGGCTTCAATCTACAAGGAATTCTCATAAATATCAATGTGATTCATGTCCCGTCTGACCTGAGGTTTCCCTGTGGAGATTCAGAATTTGGCTTCTTCTGTTCTCACCTGAGGTTTATTATAAACACATCAGAATATCTATTTAAAAGGAATAGCAAGTTGCACATCATAGATTTGCAGTTTCATGTGCAACCACCTTTTTTTTAATTATTCTGTGTTATAGAAATCTTGCTTTATTCCATAAATTTTTTAAAAAGAATATGGTTTGTGTATGTCTCTAAAAATGTGGGCCAAAAGGGCCCTGGGTTCTAATACAAATGCAATGTGTATATGTATATGTATATACATATATATATATGTATATATATGGGGAGAGAGAGAGAGAGAGAGAGAGAGAGAGAGAGAGAAGAGAGAGAGAGACAGGGATGGGGGGGGGGCCGGGATTCAGGACAACCTGTATATGAAAAGCAGTGGGTTTTAGTGGATAGAGCACTGGATTTGGATTCATATCTCATCTGAGACACTTATTGGCTCTGTGACCCCAGGCAATTCATTTAATTTTTCTGGTCCTCATCTTTCTTATATATAAAATAAAGGAGTTGGACTAGATGACCTGTATAATCCTTTCCAATTCTAAGTGTATGATTCTATAATTTTTATTTCAGCCGAAAGAAAGAATGTAAAACACACACACACACACATACACACACACACAGTGGAATCTCAGGAGCCTATAAACAGCCAACACAACTTCCCTTGCCACCCACCTTTCCCTGAGAACAAGATTATTATAGCGCCACTCTGTGTTTTAGACTTCCCTTAAAGGGAAATGCACTTGGGGGGATGGTAGAGAGTCAACTGTCTTCCCAATGGACCTGAACGGTTCAAATAACTCATAGCAGTTGTAAAGGGAAAAAAAACTTCCAGATTGCTCCTTTACCTTGTCATTCCCTCCTTCCCTTCTCTCCAAGCTATTTGTGAACAGAGAATATATCTTACACTTGTATGTCATTTTGGCACATGTCTATCGTAATACCTACATAGAGACATCACTCAGTAAATATGTGATCAGTCCTTTTTAGTTATAAGAGTATGTTCTGTATTACAAATACATTACCAGCTCCTAAAGGACAGAGACCATGTTTTTCCATTTTCTTCCAAGATGCCTACTATAGGGAAAGGAACTGAGCATTTATGAAGTACCTATGTGCCAGGCACTGGGTGAAGTACTTTACAAATATTACTTCACTTGATCCTCCTGACAACTTTGAGAGGTAGGCATTGTTATTACCTCTGCTTAACGGGTAAGGAAACAGAAGCAGGCAGGGATTAAGTGACTTGCCCACAGTCACACAGCTAGTAAGTGCCTCAGGCTGGATTGAACTCAAGTCTTCCTGACTCCAGACCCTACCCTCTATCCATTGCAACATAAAAGCAGCCTTGCTATAGTGTTCAAAATTCAGCAAAGGGCACAATAAACGCTATTGATTGACTTGATGAAAGACTTAAGAGCTCACCAGTAAGAGCCATGGCCAACCGGAATTCTTCTTGCAGCATTTCCAGAACCTCCTTCACTCCTTTCTCTCCCTAAATAAATTAGAGGGAAGTATTTGGCTTAGTCTGACTTGCTCATACCAGACATTTGTTTATTTAATTACTCAGTTACCTGATAAGCCAATCCCCAGATGATGGGTCTCCCCACAAATACAGCCTTGGCCCCAAGAGCAAGGGCTTTCAGCACATCCGTTCCTTTACGTATACCCCCATCCAAGAACACCTCCACCTTTCCCTCCACAGCCTCTACAATTTCAGGCAGGACATCAATCTGTGAAGGCAAGACAGAAAATGTTATATCATCTGTCCATTTAAAGGAAACCCTGCTCAAGGCCACCCAAAGGCTGCTGATCCCATCAGACCAGGACTTCAGGTGAAAGCAGCAGGCCACAGGAATGCAGGTTTAGGGTCAAGAGTAAAATAACTTCCTTAAAAAAAAAAAAAACAGAAGAGGAATAGACCAGGAACTAAAAGCATCAACATTCCCTTTACATTCAAGTTTTGGGATAATCTCTGGGAGAGTTTCCTGAAAGGAACTGAGGGCTGAATTTGGCCACAGATTTCCACCATGGAGTGAATAAGGGTAGAATTTGGCCCATAGCCCTGAATGGTTTGGCATGTAATGTGAGTTTTTCTCCCTTCCCATTTGGTTTTTGCTACCTTGCCAAACATACTTTGGATCAATTTACATATACACTGCTTTCTTCTTATATTCAGGCAAATTACATCAACATATAAGTGCTACAATTTCCAAACTATGATGCAAGCTGTAATTAAGCACATTTCCCCAATTTGTAAGGAGAAACGAGAAAAATATTAACCAGCTTGGGTTCAATGCACATTTTCAAAGCTTATCAAATAGTCTGTTTAGGTTATTTCAAACACTGAATATGGCCTAAAAATGACCTAGGAAAGACATTTATGACATGAACCTTGTGGTACAAAATTAAGTCCAGATTGGTGTCGTGTATCTATGGGATAGAAGGTTTTATCTGTGGCCTGGCATTTTCAACTATAGTGATGGAGCTGGGATTCCACTAGATGTACCCTTGCTGTGCTGTATAATTTTCAGTGAGACAGATTACAAATAAATTTAACATAAGCCCACTATTTTATATCTCTATCCTATTTTCTTACCTTCCAACATCCTATATGTGCCAGATATCAACAAGCTATGGCAAGAGTCTGGTGTTTCCTTTGCTTTCACTTCCCGAAGGTATGACAGAAAACCTTTTTGAGTTTAGGTTTTAGAATCTTAAATATAGTCTTTACATGGCTATCCAAGAAAATGCTATAGGTAGATATGTGGTACAGTGGAAAAAGTGCTGGACCTGGCCAGAATCAGGAAATTTCAATCTGAGTTCAAATCCAGTCTTAGACACTTTTTAGTTGTGTGACCCTGGGCAAGTTATTTAAATTCTATCTTCCTCAGTTTCCTCTTCTAAAAACTGGGGATAATCCTAACTCTTTCCCTGGGTTATTGTGAGGATCAAACAAGATAATATACATACAGCACCTTGTAAACCTTAAGGTACTATATAAATGCTAGCAAATATTACTGTAGAATTAAGGGACACTTAAAGGGTATTTCTATATCAAGCTCAAGTCCCACCCTTTAATGAAATCTTTCTCAATACCATTCTCCTTCCTGACCTCCATAACATTCATTGTCTATAGGCTATGTACTTTTCAATCCAATTCAAGAAGCATTTATTCATCATTTCTATGTCGGGCACTGGCTAGGCACTGAGGCTTCAAAAAAGAAACAATCCGTGTCCTAATCTTATCCTCTTTCTTATATTTTATAATGTCATTTCCCCACAAGATTGTAACTTTCAGACCTCACAGAAGTATAGACTAATCTTAGAGTCTGAAGAGATGTCACAGTCCATTTCATTCAACCTTTACTTGAACAAGATTCCTCTCTACAACATCCCTGATTAGTGGCGTAGTGGATAAAGTGCTGGGCCTGAAGTCAGTATAACCTGAGTTGATATCCAACCTCAGATACTTACTAGCTGTGTTACCCTGGGCAAGTCACTTAACCTTTGTTTGCCTCAGTTTCCTCATCTGTATAATGGGGATAATAACAACCTCTACCTCCCAGAGTTGTTGTAAGGATCAAATGAGATAATGATTGCAAAGCCCTAACACAGTGCCGGGCACATAGTAGGCTCTATATAAACATTAGCTATCATCATCATTATTACTATTAATTATTAGGGGACTCCAGTCATCCCAATCTATATCTTGCCACTGGACCCAGATAGCTCTGGAGGAGAAAGTGAGGCTGGTGACCTTGTACCACCTTCCCTCACTTAAATCCAATTTACTTCCGTGTCATGGCATCACCTTCTTAATGTCATGGTCCGCTTCAAGAAGAAAGGACAAACAAGGGTATTAATTATTATTATTACCTGAAGAATTCCAGTGAGGGTAAATGCATTACCTCCCATGGCAACTGATTCCACCTTTAAACAAACTATAATTGGTATGTTTTCTCCTCTTTACATCACGACTAAATTTGTCTCAGCACCTTTCTGTGCTCTGGAGCCAAATATGAATGAATCTAAACATTCTTCCTGGTGTCAGCCATTACAATACTTGATAACAGCTATCACACAATAATAGCCAGCACCTGCATAGTACCTTACAAATATTTCGTTTTATCCTTACAACAACCTTGGTAGATAGGTGCTATTACATTTGCCATTTTATGGTTGAGGAAACTGAGGCAGACAGCGATTAAGTGATTTGCCCAGAGTCAAATAGCTGGTAAGTATCTGAGGTTAAATTTGAATTCAGTTCTCCCTGCCTCCAGAGTATCCACGGCTCCATCTAGTGGCCACAATACCTTCTTTTCCAAGTTAACTACTACTAGTGGTTTCTTCTATCCATCCTCATATGACACGATTTTGGGCTGTTCTCTTCTTGACCCTCTCTAGGCTATCAAGGTCCTTCCTAAAATGTACCTCCTCAAAGTGATACAGTTCTCCAGGATGTCACTGGGGCAGAACAGAAAGGACTAGCACCGCCTTGGTCCTAGATATTTTATTTCTCTTATTATAGCCTCACATGACATTAGCTTTTGTGGGTACCATATCACACTTGATAGATATTGATAACTATTTATGATAGTTGACATGATACAAGATCATATGATAACTATTGATACCTATTTGCAATCCATTAAAACACATTGAGATAAATTATCTACCTTCTCATGTACTTACAAGGTTAATTTCTGGAACTCACATCTATTTCTATTCAATTTCCTTTTACTAAGTTTTTCAGTACATTCTAACCTATAAAGATATATAGTTTGTAACACAAGGGCTCTGCCAACTTGATTTTTAAAAATATTTAGATAATTCTATTTCAATATGATTAGACTTATTTATAATCCTCTGTATGTTATGTATTTGAAAGCATTACTCTCAAAAAGGACTCCATAGGTTTCACCAGATGGCCAAAGGGGTCCACGACACAATAAAGGGTTAGGATTTCCTGATTTGCTTATAAGATCTTTTTGGTTTCTATATTAATCAGTCTACATGCTCTGTTCCATAGATCTTTTCATAATTTCCTATGATACATAGCATACAACTGGATATAAAGTAGGTAGCAATCAATCAACCAATCAACAAGCTTATATTAAACATTTACAGTGCCCCAGGAACTGTGTTAATCTCTGGGCACTTTGCTAAGCACTAAGGACTCAATCAACAGACGGCAGCTAGATGGATTAGCTGGGGAGCTAGATGGCTAGATGGAGTACCAGACCTGCAATCAGGAAGACTCCTCTTCCTCAGTTCAAATCTGTCCTCAGACACTTACCAACTGTGTGACTTTGGGCAAGTCAATTAACCCTGTTTGCCTCAGTTTCCTTATCTGTAAAATGAGCTGAAGAAGGAAATCACAAACCACCCCAGTACCTATCAAGAAAACCCCAAATGGGGTCATGAAGAGTTGGACATGACTGAAACAATTAAAAGATGATGACAACAACAACAAAAGATTTCCTAACACTGAGTGTCCATTTATAGATGGTTCAGAATGGTCCAACCATTTCATACCAGCTGAATTCCTGGATTCAACTTCACCCTTTTTATGCCCCTCCACCTGGTACCTTTTCTTCCCTTCATTTCTCCCTAAGCTCCCTTTTGTATATTGTCTTCCCCATTAGAATCCAAGCCCCTTGAGGGCAAGGACTTTCTTTCTTTTTCTTATCTCCAGTACTTAGCACAATGACTAGCATGTTTGCTAAATTAAATTGAATTCTGCTAGGTGCTAAAGGGAGAGAAAAAAACAAAAATAAAACATTTGGTGCCTTCAAAGACTTTACATTCGAGCTGGGGATCTTATAATCCTATGATCTATACCAAAAGTATCAAACTTCAATTCAGTTCATGGATTTTTGAGTCATGTCTGACTCTTCATGATCCCATTTGGGGTTTTCTTGGCAAATATGCTGGAGTAGTTTGCCATTTCCCTCTCTAGCTCATTTCACAGATGAGGAAACTGAGGCAAACTTGCTCAGGGTCACACAGCTAGTAAATGTCTGAGGCCAGATGTGAATTCATGAAGATGATTCTTCCTGAATTCAGTCCTAGCACTCTATCCATTAAGCTACCTGACTGCCCCAAGGGTCAAACCTTCAGCCTGCAAAGGGTAACAACCAAACCAGATCAAAATGTAATTGGTAAACATTTAACAAAATAAATAATAATAAAATAAAACATAGATAATGTTAATTTGTGGTGTCCTAAGTCAATATGTGGCCTGAAGGGATCACTTCCTATTTGAGTTTGACACCACTGAATTCTATATTATGTATCAGAGACCTAGTATGTCTCTTCCTAGTGCTCATGACCTATTGTAAGGTCCTAGAGCAAACAAGAGTCTTAGTATCTACATCTCATTTATCTGTGCATGAAAACATACTTGGGACCATGACTATGACCACACAAACCACTGGATGGACCATTTTGACCAAATCAACCAGTCAATTCACTTGTGAGGAAGAGAGGGTTGTAGAAGAGGGTAGAATCAGATGCAATCGACTAGATTACTTGTTAAAGTTAATTCACTAGCCAATGGTCAAAAATCATCCAATTACTAATCACAGGCAAAGAACAGTTAATATATACCTAAAGAAAGGATGAGAAGGGACTCGTTATCTAAATGCAGAGACCAATTCAGATTATTTAAGAAAAATTAATTCAATTTAAGGTAAATTTGGCAAATATTTTCTATTTCACTTTGGCTAAAAATCACAGAATTGTAGAACTGAAAGTCACCTAAGAGATCAAAATAACTTTAACTCCCTTGTTTTTACAGATGATAATACTGAAGTATAGAGAAGTAGGAAATTTACCCAAGATTACAGTTAGTTAATGGTAGAATATAGGTCTCTTACCTATCAGTACTCAAGCCACAAAGTAGTTAGTTAATCAGATAGGACCTCAGAATGAGAATGAACCTTAGAGATCAGCTAGCATGAGTAAATAGTTCATTAGATGCTGAGTATAGCCTAATGACATAATATTCTTACCAGTAAGTACATGGGTTTAAAACCCTTTGGCACACATGTTTACACATGGATCATTATTTGATGGCTACATATACGCACAAATACACAAAAAGACAGACCAAGATCAAACCAGACAGATTAAAAAATGGATAAAATTGTAAGTACAATGAAAATTTTGCAAGGAATACTTGCAATACATATGCCAATGGCTTGTTATTTGTACTCACAGTGGCAGGCACTCCATCCAGTTGGCGAGCACCATGATTGGACACCAATATCCCATTGACGCCATATTCCACAGCTTCCCTGGCATCATCAGCTAGAAAAACACGATTCAGCAGTTCAGTAATTAAAGCTAAACTGAGGATGCTGTAGCAAATTACCTGGTTTCTATTTAAAAAATCTAAATAGCATTTCTGAAGGGTAGATTTTAAAATTCTTACCTCAAAATATATGTTTGAGGAATGTTTTAATGGATCTTGTATTCTTCCCCCCACACACACACTCCCCCAGGAAAACGTAAGTTTTCTTGAGAGTAGGGACTGGCTCCTTTTGTCTTTGTACCCCTAGCTCTGATCACAGTAGCTATTGCATAGGAAGCATTTCATAACGACTCATTGGATCTGGTGGGTTGGATCTCATCAGTGCAACTATTTCTTCCAATGATGAAGACTGTACACCATCCACAAAACTCCTGTAATAGAGGTGGCAGAACCACAGTAGGGATGATGCTCTTAACAAATATAAGGTCAGAGTTTGCATTGTCTTAAAGAAGAGCATTAATAGTCGATACTCCTTGTGGAACTTGCATGCCTTTCAATTTTGCCAATAGTCAATATAGTATAATAAAGTTCCAAATGAATAATTCTAATATGCAAATTATATAGGATTAAACAAAAGAACATAGATACATACATGTATATACCTACATGTATGTATATATATGATTGCAATAATGACCCCCACATTTGATATAATTATTCAGTTATGTTGAAATAAATTGACAAGATTAAAAGTGTCAATAAAAATGAATGGAATTTAGGAGAATAGAAAAGTTACCTTCAAGTATTTCAAAGGCAGTCAAATAGGAAGTGGGATTACCCTTGTTTTGTTTGGCCTCAGAGAACAGAACTGGTAGCAATGAGTGAAAGTTACAGAGAGGTAAATATAGGCTTGATCTAAGAGTAAGATATTGCCCCCATTGTTATTTGGACATTTTGATTGCTAATAAGGACAGAAAAAATATTTGTGTAAAGAGCACTGATAAAATCAACTTGAGAAGAAACACAGCTTCATCCCCCACCCCCACACCAGACAAATACTTGAGGAGAGATACAGACAGTTCTGAGGACTAGAGAGAAAACTGTTTTGCAGATAAATGTATTGACTGAGAAGACCTGTTTGAAAGTAGAGCATGAAATTATGTGATAACGGATGCAATGCATTGCAGTATATAGACTCATTAACTGCTTTCAGAGTTTTGAAAGTTACAACTGCAAAACTGTAAATCCACTGTTTGGGAACTATGGGACGATGGTATAAGATCTGCTTTGAGGCTTTGGAAGGCAGAGAAAGATAATCAGAAGAACACAGGAGTCTGGAAGAAGCTGAGAGAGGAATCAGATTAAGACAGAGATTAGAAGCCTGAGAAACTAGAAGACTCCTAAAAGCTGACAGGCAGGCTCTTCAGGTGTTTAAGAGTTTTGCTGATTGGCAGAGAGACATTGCTTTACTGAGAGCTGATTGTCTGGAGAAAAGAGAGTTTACTAAAGCTATAAAAGTTCTGAAGCTACTAGAAGCTCACTGTAGGAGAGCTGTGTTCTGTCTGCTACACTAAGAAGACCTGTCTGGGCTAAATTTCCCCTATTGCCATATGCAACTTGAGAATGGGGGAAACTCTCACTCTACTTCCTCTAATAGTTTAAGAGAGGGGGAAGGGATAGGGGAAAGACAAAGACAAGCTTCGCAGCTGTTTTTTTTTTCTTTTCTCGGAGCTATGCTGCTATATTTTGCTAAAAGATTGTAACCCGTTCTCAGTACCCTGATATGGATGGCTGTGCACTAAAAGAGTTCAATATTCCAGTGGCCTAAGAGTAACAGAGAAGCAGCTTTGGCCAGGAGGTGATGCATGGTACAGATGTTTTTATGTTATTTTTTTAAGAGACCAAGGACTTCAAGGTTTATCATTGTTGTCATGGTTGTCCCAGGAACATGAGTTTCCCTAGTCATGTGTCTCTTTGCTAGGTTTCAGTAAGTGTGGGCTCACTCTTCCCTACAGATACTGAATACACTGATGAGTTACTGTGATCCAGGTTTTTTAGTGGATTGTTATATTTTTTAAATTATCCCTGCTTTTGCCTTTTAATGAGTAAATGTTGTAATTATTATTGTTTGTGCCTTATTGTTTATTAAACATTTCATGTTTAAGATTCAGTGGTTTCATTGTGACTGAATATAAATGGGGAGCACATTAGTGAGACCTAAAGAGGTACAATGGCAAATAGTAGAAGTGTATTCCCTCCACACATGGGACTCTGTGTGTTTGAGTAGCAGCCAAATGATCACTCCTGTGACTATCACTGTTCCCCAGGAAATCCTCCAGAACTACCATTGTGAGTGCTGATTAGGAATGATGGAGTCAGCCCATAGAGTAAAGATGATATGGGTGCCATATTACATTCCATACGAGAGCTACATAAGGAACAACTTCCTAAGAATTAAAGCTATCCAAAAGTAAAAAATGAGCATCCTCGAGAGGTAATGGCTCATTGAAGTTCTTCAAGAAAAGGCTGAATGTTCACATTAAGAATGTAGTAAGGGGGATTCCTAGTCAAGTATGGGTTGGACTAGATGGCCTCGGAGACCTCTTTCACATCTGAGCTTCTGTGATTGTATGATTCTGAATATTCTATAAAGCTCTTTATCTTGCCCCCATCCTCTCTGATTTTGCTTCAAGTTTTGATGAAGAGGTATTCTTCTCCTTGCTTAGGCTAATACCTCTAGTTGTTCTCTTTTTCCTAATCCATCCTCTGTCCTCCAGGAACTTGCCCCATCCTTCATTACCTTTCATTCTCTTTTCTTTAGTTTCTCCTTACCTACTTGTTTCTTCCCTCCTAACTAAAAACACATACAAGTCTATTCTTTAAAAACACCATCCATTCCCTCAGGCTCTCATTCAAAATCTCTATTTGCCTTCTCCACCAAACTCTTCAAGAGGAATACTCACCCTCTCTCTACTTCCTCACAATCCACTTCTTAACCTTTCATAGAGGATCAGAGATACAGAACAAGATGTGTCATCAGAGGCCATCTAGTTGAAGCCCCTCATTTTATAGATAAAGAAACTAAGATCCAAAGTCACATAGGTAGTAAGCATTAGAGGCAGGAGTCAAATACAAGTAAGTCTCCGCAATAATAATAATAATAACTATCATTTATATAGTGCTTTAAGGTTTTTGCAAAGTACTTTTGAAATGTTAATTCAATCAATTAATTGTGTGGCAGATGTTATCTATCTATCTATCTGTCTGTCTGTCTATCTATCTATCATCTATGTTTGTAGTCCCTAGTAGAATGAAAGCTAGGTGAGGCAACAATTGTTTTGTTTTCTTTTTGTCGTTTGAATACTCAGTGCCTAGTACATAATACGTAATTGAATTGAAAAGAACTGAAATTTTGTTTTTTCAAAATACTTCAGCAACATTGCATGGACCTAGAGGTGATGATATATGGAAAAAACCAATTCACAGAAAGAGATATGTTTAGCCAAGAAAAGAGAAAACTTAGGTAAGAGGATAATGGCAACCTTTAAATATCTGAAAAGACTGTCACATAGAAGAAGGCCTACCTTTCCTGGTTGGCCTCTAAGGAAAATGGGTAGGAATTATAAGGAAGCAAATATCCATCTATTGCAAGGAAAATTTCCAAGGCAATTAGCACTATATAAATATAATAGTCTGCTCAGAAGGTAATGGAGTCCCCTTCACTAGAGGTCTTAAAGCAAGGTCTAGTCAGGGATGTTACAGAAGGTACTTTGTTCCTGTTTGGGTCAGAGTAGTTGTCCTCAAAGATATCCCTTCCAACTCAGAAATTCTGTGAGATTCTGTATGTATGTATGTGTACACACACACACACACACACACACACACACACACACACACGCACATACTCACACACCCATAAATTTAAAAACATATACACTCAGAATGCAAGGAAGATCAATGTTTTCAAGAAGTGAATTCAAGAACTCACCATTTTACAAAAATTGCTGTGAAAATTGGGAAGCAGTTTGGCAGAAACTAAGCATAGACCAACATCTCACACCATAAGCAAAATAAGGCCAAAATGACTTAAATGATTTAGACATGAAGGGTAATTCCATAAGTAAACTAGGGAAGCATGGAAAAAATATATCTGTGATATCTATGGATAAGGGAAGAGTTTATGACAAAAGAAGAAACAAAGAAGATCACAAGATGAAAAATGGATAATTCTGATTACATGCAATTTAAAAATTTTTGCACAAACAAAACCAATGTAGCCAAAAATAGAATGAAAGCAGGAAACTGCAGGGAGAGGGGAGGGTTTAACTCAAATTTCTCTAAGACCTCATTTCTTAAATATATGGGAAACTGAGTCACATTTATAAAAATAAAAGCTATTCCCCAACTGATAAATTATCAAAAGATATAAATGGCAGTTTTCAGAAGAAAAAATCAAAGCTATCAATAGTCATAAAAAATGCTCTAAATCACTATTGATTAGAGAAAAGTGAATTAAAAGAACTCTTTAACAGCTACTTTACATTTATTAGATTAGATAACATAGCAGAAAAGGAAAATTATATATGCTGGAGGGAATGTGGAAAAATAGAGACACTGATATACCATTGGTAGAGTTGTGGACTGATCCAACCATTCTGGAGAATAATTTGGAACAATGTCCAAAGAACTATAAAACTGTGTATACCCTTTGACCCAGTAATACCATTACTAGGTCTGATTCCCAAAGAGATCACAGAAAAGGGGGAAAGACCTATACTTGGTGGCAGCTAGGTGGCTCAGTGGATAGAGTGCTGGGCCTAAAATCACAAAGACTCATTTTCATGAGTTCAAATCCAGCCTCAGACACTTACTAGCTGTGTGACCTTGGGCAAATCATTTAACCTTGTTTTCCTCAGTTCCTCATCTGTAAAAGGAGCTGGAGAATGAAAAGGCAAACCACTTCAACATCTTTGTCAGGAAAATCTCAAATGGAGTCACAAAGAGTTGGACACAACTGAAACAACTGAAAAACAACACCATCAATATGCACAAAAATATCTGTGGTGGAAAAGAATTAGAAAGTGAAGGGATGCCCATCGATTGTGGGTGGCTGAACAAGTTGTGGTATATTATTATAATGGAATCCTACTGCACTACAAGAAAGGATGAACAGAATGATTTCAGAAAAACTTAGGAAGATTTATATGAACTGACACAAAGTGAGGTAAGCAGAACCAGGAGAACACAGTAACAGCAATATTGTAATGATGATCAATTGTAAAAGATTTAGCTACTCTGATCAGGACAATGACGCAAGACAGTTCCAAAAGACCCAAGATGAAAAAAGCTATCTACCTTCAGAGAGACAACTAACGAACTCTGAACACAGATTGAAGCATGCTTTTTCACTTTCTTTATGTTTCTTGCTTTTAATTGTTTTTGTTTTGTTTTCCACCATGGCTAATATGGAAATGTTGTTTGTTTGTTTGTTTGTTTGTTTGTTTGTTTTTTAAAGAATTGAATTCAAGACAAATTCTTCAGAAAAGGAGCTCCACTGAAAGTGCAATGGACAGGAAGGAAGGAAGGAAGGAAGGAAGGAAGGAAGGAAGGAAGGAAGGAAGGAAGGAAGGAAGGAAGGAAGGAAGGAAGGAAGGAAGGAATAAAAGAAAGAAAGAAAGAAGAAAGAGAAAGAAAGAAAGAAAGAAAGAAAGAAAGAAAGAAAGAAAGAAAGAAAGAAAGAAAGAAAGAAAGAAAGAAAGAAAAGAAAGAAAGAAAGAAGGAAGGAAAGAAAGAAAGAAGGAAGGAAGGAAAGAAAGGAAGATGGAAGGAAGGAAGGAAGGAAGGAAGGAAGGAAGGAAGGAAGGAAGGAAGGAAGGAAGGAAGGAAGGAAGGAAGGAAGGAAGGAATTTTCACATTGACTATTATTATGCCTTTGCCCAAAGAATGGAATGTTTGTTAGCGTGTGAACTAGTGAAGGCCAAATCCTGTCCTCAAGTGTATGTTTGGAGTTTGTTGAAGTTTTCAAAGAGCAGAATTTGACCATAGCAAGAGAGATTGTATCTTGCATTCCATGGCAATATAATGGTGGTAAGGAAAAGATGTGTTTCATCCAGAACTTCCCAGCTGTCATCCAATATTTCTGCAAATATAACCTTCATCTTTATGGTTAAAAGTAAATTCAGAAAAGGATGAGCAACTTCTGGTCAATGTAAATGAAAATATGGATGAGAAGGATTTAATGAGGCAAGAATAAATCCGTGAAATGTGGATTACTGAATTTCCAAAAACAGATTTCCTAAAGTCCAAAATTAGCATATGTGTTGCTTGATACAATTGTTACTATAGAAATGCTTTTTGTTTATTAAATAAAAGAAACTAATAGTTATACAAAGATGCTGCAGGGTAAATGGTATGTATACAAATTGCATTTCCCTGGATTTCCTTAACATCACCCACTGTCTTTGAAATATCTTTCATAGCACCCAAATCTAAAATGTCTTTCTCTCTCTCTCTCTCTCTCTCTCTCTCTCTCTCTCTCTCTCTCTCTCTCTCTCTCTCTCTCTCTGTGTGTGTGTGTGTGTGTGTGTGTGTCTCTGTCTCTCTGTCTCTGTCTCTGTCTCTCTCCCTTAAAATATGTGCAAGTATATATGTGAGGCAATGTGACATCCTGGATAGAGAGCCAAACTTAAGAGTTAGGAAAACCTTTGTTCAAGTCTTCTAGCTGGGGCAGCTAGGTGGCACAGTGGATAGAGCACCAGCCCTGGATTCAGGAGGACCTGAGTTCGAATCTGGCCTCAGACAAATAACACTCACTAGCTGTGTGACCCTGGGCAAGTCACTTAATCCTATTGCCTGGCCAAAAACAAAGAAACAGAAAAAAAACAAGTCTTCTAGATGGTATATGCTGTCTCTGTGAATCTGGACAGGTCACTTAACCTTTCAATGCAATTCTCTAAGATCATAAATTGCATTAGCTGCTATTATCAGTGGTTTATCTGCATTAATAGAGGGAATTTTGCTACCAGAAGTATTTGCCTGAACTAAAGAAATCACAGGTTTAGCAGAAATCTATATATGTATCTGTATATCTATCTATTGACCCATCCAGGTATTTAGATAATTTTGTATATAGTTTTATTCATTTAGAAGGGATTTTTTCCCTTTATTTTATTTTCACTAACAAAAAGAGGATGAGAAGAAAAGAAAGGGAGGAAGATGAGGGAGAGGAAGTGGGAGGAGGAGGAGAAGTGGACTAAGAGTGATATGGGAGGGGAAAAGGGAAGACGGATTTGTCTTGATGAAGGTGGTGGCACAAAGGCCACCTAAAGAATGCAAAAGTTGAGAATACTAGGCACTTCTTCAACCTCACATGATAGGAACATCTATTTCATTCATTTTGACTCATAGCCCATGTCACGCAATGGGAAAGTTTCCACAGCACAACATAAGATGGGAATCCTAAACATGGTCAGTACAAATGGAGATGACATTCTTCTCATGGAACTTCCTTCTTCTAAGGAAGGCAAATGTTAGGCTGCAGCAAAAGCACTCTTTTCATTGTGATTATTAAGGGAAAGGTTGCTCTCTGATATAACCAACTTCATCGGAGTAAATCAAGCCTTTTAGAATTGCACTAACTTTATGATTTGTTGATTTACTTTGTAGATCAAATCAGGCTGGGGATGAGGTGAGTGAAGAGAAATTTGCAAGGTAAGGTTAGAATCCAAAAGGACCTTAGAGAAGGTATTAATAATCATACAGTATGAACCACAATATCTGAGGATATGGAGGATAACAATAATAATGTTAGCAATAGACAGTTGATAAATGTGGTGGGGGACAAGTAATAAGAAATCGATTTTGTTTTAATTGAAATAAAAAGAAAAAATGCTTTTATAGAGAACAGTTCTGCCAGTGATCTTTTTTTTAAGGCATTACAGTAAGTTAATGGGTTTTTCCTCATAGTCATGAATTCAAAATGTTTAATAAAATGTTTTGGGGAGCATGTACCTTTCATAGTGCTACCAACTTTAAACTCTTTTGAACACACACACACACACACACACACACACACACACACACACACACAATATGCTTACAGGTTAAGAAACCAGTACTGAAACACACTGCTATTATAAAATTAATCAATATTTCATATCCCTCAGCTCTAAATAAGTTGTGAGACCTATGAGAGCAGCCAGGGCTACCGGAAGCTAACGACTGAATGTTTTAGGTACTTAAAGATCAAGCATTCTCTTTATATAAGCCATCAATTCTCATTCAGCAAGAAAGAAAAAGGAGAGAGAGAGAGAGAGAGAGAAAGGAAAGGAAAGGAAAGGAAAGGAAAGGAAAGGAAAGGAAAGGAAAGGAAGGAAAGGAAAGGAAAGGAAAGGAAAGGAAAGGAAAGGAAAGGAAAGGAAAGGAAAGGAAAGGAAAGGAAAGGAAAGGAAAGGAAAGGAAAGGAAAGGAAAGGAAAGGAAAGGAAAGGAAAGGAAAGGAAAGGAAAGGAAAGGAAAGGAAAGGAAAGGAAAGGAAAGGAAAGGAAAGAAAAGAAGAAAAAAGTTGTCTCTATATTTTCTACACTTGTCTGTTGGTTGTAGTCATTAGTTAACAGAACAAGCTGGAGAGATTTAGGGCCAAAGGAGGGATGAGGCCTTGAATATGATGGGGTAGGGAAAGCTGGGAGAGAGGGATGGCTTGCAGGAGGAAGACTGATAACCAGTTTGTCTTAACAGGAATAAATCCTCGGTTTTTGAACAAACATATTAGATGTCTTTAGCAATAATTCAGCAACTACCATTTGGAGGTGATTCCCCCCTACACACATACACACACACACACACACACACACACACACACACACACACACTTATTAAAACTTCTTTTTTTCAGTTGTATAGACACCACCAATGTGAAGGTTCTTTTTGTGGGAGTTTAAAATTCCTTCTCTGTCTGAGCTGTCTTAACATTTAGTTCTAATATGCAGGTTAGCCTGATGAATGGATGCTATAGTCCTTCCCATGGTCTCTTAACTAGCCCTAAGATTTCATGACTTGGGGTGATGAAATGGCAATTTGCTAAATGAAACCATGTCCCAGTGGCTTGAAAATGTCCATGTTGTTTACAGGAGTACCCAGCTAATTCTCATGATGCTGACTCCCCACTGTGGGGGATCAGGGTCATTATAAATGTAAAGAACCTTTTATTAAATAGCAGAAAAGTATCTTATGGCTTTTCATCTTCATTTTTCTATGTGCCAATCTCCCCCTCAAAAAAAGGTCAAAATTACATTGCATAAAGATATAAAGGTGGCATGCTTGTAAGTAAAGAAATAAATGAACCTCGGAGAATGCCTTTGGCAACAATTGGGAGGGTTGTCAGTTTCTTCAGCCAGGTAATATCCTTCCAGTTAATTGATGAATCAATTGCATTAGCTGTGTATTCTGCCAGACCACTGTTGTCTCCATAACCCTCCTCAGAAGAAAAGGCCAAATCATTGGTTTGAAAATTTTTCATCCTGAAATAGAGACATAAGTCAATCTAAAGCACGGGTTTAATTTATTTCAGAAAAGAATCTCTCTGTATACAATGATTCTTCGAATGAAATAAAAATTAATCTTCCTTCTGCATGGAATTATTAATTTTTGTCTCCTGTTGTATGCTCTGCAAAACTCTGGGTCAGATTTAACCATTTGAGCCTCTTATTTGGGTTCTTCCAAGTTCTTACAACTGTCTTATATTTCAGACTGCATCTATACAGAAAAACTGGAGTTGTTTTTGGAAAGGGAGAAGTAGGGACAAATATGTGGAGTAGATGAATTGAATCGATCAAATTATCTTCAAAGTAATTGATTGGTTTTATCCATGTTTTCTTTTTAAAGCATTTTTATCTATGTAGACACAGCTACTGCACACACAGCTTCTGCATCATTTTAAGGTGAAATTTATCTTCATCAGTGAAAAACATACTGTAGTAGCAGATGATCAATAAATCTAATCTCCCTCCCATCAACCTTCTCAACTATTTCAGAGCCTCTGTTAAGGCTAAAACTATAGTAATGTGTCCCAGTTCTACACAGCTATCTCCATTCACCAACTTACTTTGCACAACCTATATATACTTCCCAGCAATTATTATGGAAAAACCTAACAGTAGTAGGTACATATTCTTCCCTCTCCTCTCCCCCTCCCCAAGATTTCCCATATCTCTGTTTCTGACACTGAAATACCAAAACTTCTCATCTTTTCTTTTTGTTGATGAACTTTCAAATACCTGTATGTCCAGTTAAATTGTGCCTTATCAAGTAGATTCTTTATGTTATGAAAATTCAATTCAGCAAACATGAAGTGAGTACTGCCTTTGTACCAGACCATATGCTAAGCACTATAGGAGATACAAAGGCAAATGTGTGGACTCTGAAGGACATGAAATTACTCTACTTCTAGAATAGATAACTATAGCTAACTTTTGAGACAATGTTAACAAAGTTTCCTGAGGAGAAACTTCCCATTCAACATTGTAATTTTATGTTCTTAGAGGATCACTGAAAATCACAAAAGAATCCCACATCCATTTGTGCCAATACAAAAAGTTAGCATTCAATTCTTCAGCTTCCAATAAATCTTTTTAGCTGACATGCTTAAAGTATTTGTTTTTATCAGAGCATTTATTGGCATTACATATTATCATACAGCCACAAAACTCTGCAACCACATTAAAATTCAATGGAAACCAGTAGTGCAATATGGCAGCCCAAAGTTATAATGTAATCTAAAGCCACATCAAGGCAGTTAGGTAGCAGAGTGGATAGAGAAACGGCCCTGGAATCAGGAGGACCTGAGTTCAAATCTGACCTCAGACACATAACACTAGCTATGTGACCCTGGATAAGTCACTTAACCCCATTGCCTAGCAAGGAAAAAAAAAAAGAGAGGCATGATATCCAGAACCAGTGGAGTATAGTGCTATTATAATCTGACCTGGTCAGCCCACATCTGAAGCGTTGTGTTCAGTTCTGGGCCTCCCATTTTAGGAAGGACATTGATAGACTGGGAATCTTCCAGAGGAGGGCCACCAGGGTCATCACATATGAGGACTGGTTGAAGGAACTAAATATTTTGCTTAGAATAGAGAAGCTGGGGTGAGTGGAGGGAGGTGCAAGGGATCGACATACTAGTCGTACTTAATCTCTTAAAGCATTCAAAGGGTTGCTATATGAAAGATGGATTATTTTCATTCTTCCTGGCCCTAGTGAGCAGAACAAGGTACAGTAGGTCAAACTTTCAGAGAGACATTTTTAGGGTTGATATAAAAAAGCGTACTAATAAATGGAGCTATCTAAAAGCAAACTGAGATGCCTCTAGGGGCAGTGAATCCCCCACCTCCCACCTCTACTGGAGGTCTTCAGACAAAATCTGGATGACTACTCACCAGGAATGTTGTAGAAAGAATTCTTGGTCAGGTACTGATGGACTAGAAAAACTTAGGGATATCTTTCAGTTCTTAGATTCTGTGATTTAATTAGCTGAACATTCCTGTGAACAAATGGATCTTTATCATTGTATCCTACACTTGATTATTCCAAAATTATAATGGGGGTGTGAAACACATAACCCTTTCTTCACAAGAGAAAGAGGAGGAGGAGGAGGAGAAGGAGGAGAAGGAGGAGGAGAAGGAGGAGAAGAAGGAGAAGAAGAAGAAGAAGAAGAAGAAGAAGAAGAAGAAGAAGAAGAAGAAGAAGAAGAAGAAGGAGAAGAAGAAGAAGAAGGAGGAGAAGAAGAAGAAGAAGAAGAAGAAGAAGAAGAAGGAGAAGAAGAAGAAGAAGAAGAAGAAAAAGAAGAAGAAGAAGCAGCTCTTGCCAATCTAGTTTCTGTCATGACCAAAAGAAAGCAAAAACATCTGTATGTGTATTTCCCTCCCTTTACAAGCTACAGGTTTTCAGCTGTAGTTTTGTGGGAGGGTTTGATGGGGAGGGGGTATTCAGAGAGAGGGGATGGATAGGAAAAAACAGAAACATGGATAAAATTATATAAATATCTGTTGTTTTGCTTGGACTGTGAAATACAGATCAACACTTGAATGAATGTTGCCTTACAGAAATTTCTGTGCACAATGGGACCTTGTTGTTACTCTCAAACTTTGTTCAAAGTCTTAAGCCAAGAACAAGTCTTCAGATATCTTTTATAGAGACCCACAATGGAGCATTTTGCTGATGGTTCTGCAGAAAGTCTCCATGGATGCTATTTTATTTGAATTATGGTATACATGAAAAACAGAAGAAATTGCTCTTTTCAAGTATTTCATTTCATTAAGAAGGAAAAGACAATTTTTTAAATAAATGACATAATTTGGAGGGATCAGATTGCTCAAGAAAAGTTTGAAGCCTCAGATCACACAGGTCCTGCTCAAAGACACATAACAAGGTCCTTTGGCAATACAATCCTCAGCATTGCTAGGGCTGCTCTGAAAAATTATTATTTCCTCCAAATGCAATGTTCACCTAATCCTTCCAAAGACATCGCCTTAATCCTAAATAAGCTAGTTAAAGAATAACTGCATGATAGCAGCAATAGTGATAATAGTAATTATGGGTGTTTTGTTCTTTTTTTGTATGGATCTGAGACATCAGTGTAGGATTCTCTTCATGAAGATACTCCTTCCACCAATGTATGTCTATAGCTATACTGAATTTTTTAGCCTTAGAGAGTTGTCAGGGGACACTAAGAGGTAAATGTCTTGCCCAGAGACATGTAGCCAGTATGCATCAAGGGCAGAATTTGAACCCAGGTCTTTCCAACTCTAAGACTAGATCTCTATCAACTATGTTATGCTGCCTGTCAATAATACTTATGATGAATGAATGAACAAATGAATGAAAAACATGTATGAAACACTTATTACTATGTGCCCAGCACTGTGTTAAGAACTAGGGATAAACATGCGAATGCAAACAATCCTAGCTCTCAAGGAGTTTACAACTGAGTAGGGGAAGTCAACATCTAATAGGAAGTGGTAGCCAGGGAAGAGTGTTTTGATTTAGGAATTCACACGAATGTTGAGTAGAGTAAATTGACACACTCTTTCCAGAAGAAGTAGTAGTACTGATTCACTTACTATCTCCATAGCAAGAGGTGGGGAAGGAGGGTAGAGAAGGGTTGCATGTGACATAGGGAAGATGTCAAGGAGATGGCTGGGGCGAGTATTTGGGTGGGATAATTGATTATCTATTGAGTATTGATAGGCAGCATGGCATAATAGATAGAAAGCTGGGCTTGAAACAGTGAAGACTTTGGTTGAAGTCTTACCTCATTATATGTGTGTGTATACACATACATGTACACACATATATGTATATATATATACATACATACACATACATATATACACATGTATATGTGTGTATACATACATATGCATATGTACACGTATATACATACATATAGTGTATATATTTTTATATATTTATATATATTATATATGTGTGTGGGTGTGGGTGTGTGTATATGTGTGTGTGTGTGTGTGTATATATATGTGTGTGTGTGTATATATATATATACATATATATATGTACATATGTGTATATATATACATATATATACATATATATGTATATATGTGTGTATATATATACATATATATACATATATACATATATATGTGTGTGTGTGTGTGTATATATATATATATATATATATATATATATATATATTATATATATATATATTAGCTACATTGCCATGGAAAATTCACTTAATCTCTTGTTGCTCAGGGCAACTCTGTAAGACTAAATTAGAGATGAGTCCTGATCTGCATCAGTGAAGTGAATTTCACACTTGTGGCAACTATCCCTGGTTTTTCTACACATAATCTTTTTCCAGGCTGGGGCACCATCAGAGTAAACTTAGGATCACCCTCCCAGAAAACACACATTTATGAAATAGTTGGCAAAATGTAAAGATACCCTTTCAAGCCATACAACTTAGTATAGCATTATCTTGTCAATCAGTCATTTCAGTTGTGTATGACTCTTCATGACCCCATTTGGGGTTTTCTTAGTAAAGATACTAGAGTGGTTTTCTACTTCCTTCTCCAGCTCATTTTTACATATGAGAAACTGAGGCAGAGTTAAGTGACTTGGACAGGGTCACACAGCTAGTAAGTGTCAGAAGCTAGATTTAAACTCAGGAAGATAAGTCTTCCTGACTCTAGGCCCAGCACTTTATCCACTGCACCACCTAGTTACCCAGTCTATCATTATAAGTCAATGTTAAAACTTAAATGTGTCATTTTTCTCTTTATCTTAGCCAACAGGGACATACATCTGACTTTTCATCTTCTTTAACTTTTTTGATGTTGATCTAACAGCACAGTCTCAACCCTGGATCTCTCAGATTCTTGGATAATCTCCACAGGATGTAGAGAAAGAAAAAGGCCCTTGCCTAAGAGCCTGAGGAATCAATTGATTGAACTGACTTCATTCTCCTTTCTTCCAAAAGCAGTTAAAACCCCTGCTCTCCATTCTCTTTGCCTCAGGAACACATTCCAATTCCAATTTCCACATGCATATTGCATATGTATTCTACAGATCAGCATTAAAGAGCATCTCAAATGATGTGAACCCTGCCACCCCACCCAACTGCCAAGATGGGGCTTCTCTTCCTCTAACATGTGAAGTGGGGAGGTGGGGTGGAATGTAAGCAGTAAAGCCTGGAAGAAACCAGCTTTTTACAGACTCTTTCTTTCTCTTCTGGATTTCCTGTCTCCCCTGCCTGCCAAACCTCACATTTGAAAAGCCAGGCTTCACCCCCTGTGAATAAGGTCAGTAGCAGAAATAAGACAGATTTCATATCAGGTTGTAACGAATGTGCTCTTTGGGTGTATGTAACTTCAACGGAAGCCTGTGCCTCCCATTAGTATAGTGAACTCTGCCTGTGAGTGCTGGATGTGGTATGATGAGTAGCTAACCAGAAGGAGCTGGCCCTCCACGTCAGCCTGTAACAAACAGAGCTAGTGTTCCCTTCACGGGCCAGGGCGAAGGCGTCTACGGGGTGTTTCCTGTATTCCCTGTAACCTGGATGTGTTACTAATTATTCGGTCATCTTCAGATGGGAGATATGACAAGCTGTGGTGCCTTAGGTACTCTGGTAAAAACTTGAAAATAAAAAGGGGCTTTGTCTCTTAGCTCTTCACGTCATCTGGGCATGAGCCCAAGAACAAAGTGAAAGGACAGAGAACCAACCCTTCCAACTGCTCAGAGAGTGACCCTACATAGATGAAAGGGAGAAAGAGTTACAGCCCAAACGTTTCATTTGATAAATACATTGTAATCTCTCTCTGTGTCTGTCTCTCTCCCCCACTTCTACCCCGCTTCCTTCCCTCTCTCTTTCCCTCTCTCTTTCCCTCTCTCTGTTTCTCTCCCTCCCTCTCTCACTCCTTTCCTCTCTGTCTCTCTCCCCTCCCTTCCTTCTCTCCCTCTTTCCCTCTCTCTATTTCTCTCCCTCCCCCTCTCTTCCTCTCTGTCTCTGTCTCTATCTCTGTCTTTTGTCTCTCTATCTCCCTCCCTCCCTCTCTCTGTCCCTGTATATTTATGTGTGTATTTCTCTATGCATACATACATGTATTATGCATTTCTGTTGTGTGTGTGTAATATTGTACATACACATATACATTAGAGGCAGCATGGCCTAGATAGTGCACCAGTCTCAGAGCCAAGAAGACTCAGGTTCAAATCGATGCTGACAATGATGATGATGATGATGATAGCTAACATTTATACAGTACTTACTACGTGCTATATATTGTGCTAAGCACTTTTCAATTATTATCTCATTTGATCTTCACAAAAATCCTGGGAGGTAGGGGCTATTATTATCCCCATTTTATACACGAGGAAACTGGCAAACAGAGGTTAAGTGACTTGCCCAGGATAGCAAAGCTAATAAGTGTCTGAGGCTGGATGTGAACTCAGGTCTTCCTGACTCCTGGCTCAGTGCTCTATTAACTCTATTAAACTTAGCTGCTTCTAACACATACTCTGCCTATGGTGACCCTGGACAATTGACTTGACTTCTCAATACTCTAGGCCATGGGTAGGGAACCTGTAGCCTTGAGGCCACATGAGGCCCTCTAGGTCCTCAAGTGCAGCCCTTTGACTGAATCCAAACTTCAAGGATGGCCTTTTGACTGAATCCCAACATTTAGATTCAGTCAAAGGGCTGTACTTGAGGACCTAGAGGTGGTCTCGAGGCCGCAGGCTCCCCACATCTTCAGTCCAGCAATCCCTAAAACTTGAAGCTGCAGAGAAGGTGCTGACCTACATTGGTAGAAGACATTTTCTCATCAATTTCTTCATAAACCAATGAAATCAGACGTCCAACTCCCATCCATGTGTAAGATAGGTAGATATCAATGTATATATACATATATGGCAGTGTGTATACACACAT